AGGTATGCGGAAGCAATGCATTAGCCCAAGCCTTGGCCTTTTATGGAGTTGTTTACTCCAGGAGTGCTCGCCCCTTGAGGGGGTGGAAGGCGGAAACCGGCGCCATCCTAGGGCGCGGCTACACGCAGCTCCCTACAGTGTATGAAGTTATAACAGCTTGTCCACATATCACCTAATTTTTCATTAATTTATCCTTTTATTTTTCATATTTTCCCATTTAATACTTGAATGTACTGGGACAAAGTTGGCTTCATGGGCAAGCTACTTCAAGTCTCAGAATTCTAATTAGAGTTCTAATATTTAACTAATATTGTGACCAAGAAATGACTAAGTCTTAAACTCTGAAACAATATAAATGTAAATAAGCTAGACACTTACTCCATTATATTTCATGATTTTATATATCATAATCAAACCTATTCACATTGTTCCTCTATGCAGTCTGAACCAGTGTTCATGGTTTTTCTTCTATCTGAAGGCTTCGTTTTATTTTTGTGAGTGTATATTTAGGCCTGTTGCATACTTTGGTCAAGCCATATCTAAACATCTGCAATTCCACTCTTTATCTGAGACAAATTTCCCAATTATTAAAGGCAGAATTATCTTCAAACAGTTTCTGTTTCCTCATTAGTGTAGTAGCATATATGATTCTAAAAACCTGGAGTTAAATGTCTCCCTCCTTCAGACTAGCTTGTTAACTACAACTTGCTTAGCTTATAATGTGGTAGAAGATCACAGTATACAGTAATTTTAAGTAAAGAGTGAATGAATGATTACAAATTAAACTTTGTATAAACTACAAAATAACAGAAGGACTCCTATTAAGATATCAGTGGCATGAAGCAAATTGCCATATTTTTTTCCCCTGTATTTTAAAGAAGGTTCTACAGGGTGTTCAGGGTCTCACTACTAGATCAGACTCATAGTGATCCTCCTGTTTACAGCCTCCCAAGAGCTGGGATTACAGGCACATGCCACCACACCCAGTCTCAATTACCATCTCAGCATGCCCTGGGGGCAGGGCCAGCATGGCAGGCCTGGGGATTGAACTCTCAGCCCCTGCGCTTGCTTGCAGGTGCTTTAATCCACCGACCTACTTGGCTATCCCTGCCACAATTTAAAAAAAAACAAAAAAACAGATATTAGCTCATGTTGGCTTTGCAGATAAGCTCATGATTACAGAGGAAAACAAAGCACAAACCAACCCAGATCTTTTAGGAACAAAAATATGACAGTAAATACAACTATTGTTTATCTGAAAGTTGAAGATTGGAAATTTATTTGAAAAGTCTGGTTATTTTTGTTTAGTTGGTTACTATTTGACTTATATTCAGTTACTGGCTTATGTCATAAAAATTTTGTGTTTAAATTGGGAAAACTGAGTTCTGAGAATTCAAATTTTCAAAATCAGTGTGAAGCCTCGTGCATTTTTATTCCACAGTGGAAACACTATATTCAGTGTGATGGGAGTCCTGATCCTTTTATACCCCAAGAAATGAATACTTTCATTAGTTTGTGGGAAGAAGAAACGAATCAGACTTTTGAGACAGTGATTGAGAAGAGTAAGCTGGTGCTACAGGTAAGTATTCAGGTGTATCCGATAATATAAGCTAAATTACAAAGAGCCTTATCTTCAAAGAACAGAAATTAAGTATATTGTCAATTCTTAAGATCGCTCACTGCTTCTGAGAGCTTGGTCATCTTTTTATTTTTCCTTTTACAATGATTAACAATCTCTTGCTTCCTTGGCTAACATGACACAAAAAAGAAACATTTACTTCTTTATGTAACTGAAGCAAAAAATAAGAAAATGTTTGGCTCCTTTTCACCGTAATAAAGGGGAAACAAAAAAAGGGGGGCAGGAACAAAGTGACCATGGGTAAATTCAAAATTAGATTGGTAGAATTTACCAGAACATAGCAGATAACCAAAGAGGTGGAAAATATGAAAGAGTGATTTGCAGATGCACATGATAGAATAAAAAAGGACTAGAAATACATGGAAGAATACTAGAAAAAATATAAATAGTTGAGATAATATTCCAATAGACAATGGCAGAAAAATTTCCAGAACTGAACAATATGAATCATCAAATTAAAAAAGGTCAGATTTTAAAAGTTTTTCTTGAAGGACTTCTGACAACAAATACTTGGAATTTTTCCACAGCCCCAAATGGATACCAATTAGCAGACCTATAACCCAGTTCTGAAGGGACCCCAAGTTAGCGCAGACCTTGCAGTTTAGGGGGACTTGGACCTATGAGTCTGCCGTTCCCACCACAAGTTGCAGGTGGTCAAGCGGTCTGTGCCTCAAGCAATGAGTAGTTGTCCCACAGTTCCCATCCCAGATGAGGCAACTTGCTATAAGGGTGCACAAAACACAGGCAAATGTTTCCCTGTGCCTACCAGCTTGCTGTGAAGTATAATAAACGTGATACAGATAGCTAGAAGAAGAAATACATGGGGTGAGCGTGCAGGAAGAGCCGTGGAGGTACGATGCCCTCTCTTGGTACGCCTTCCATTCAGTCGCTCACTGTGTTCACCGACCCAAAAGCTCCCTAGCCCCACTGTTCAGGGTCTTCGTAGAGACCTCATTATGTACACCTAATTTAGTCCCGGACCACTGGGAAATGGATCTCAAGCCTCTCTCCTCTCCCTCAAGGGTAAGGAGCAAGGTCGAAATGTTCCAATTTGTAATCTCTAGCATCTGCCATTCTAGTCTGAACTCCAGTATGGTTAATACTGGCTTATTAGGACAAAATAAAGAGTTTGTCCCATGCCTGCCATTCAGGAAATTTTAGAATTTCTGTCCTGGAATCAGGGGCAGAAGCTAAATACCTTCCTGAAGCCATACATTGGGGTCACTACCATGAAGCCCACACACATCTCAACACGTATTCTTGACATGGATGCAGAAGTAATTCACTGTTCCTATTTCTATTATTAAACTCCACTGCTTGTTGCTCCATTCACAAGAACTTTATGCTCCATCATCACTGCTGTAGTTAATTTCTCCATGTTCAGAGTTGCTCTCTAATTTCTAAGCTGTTGAAGCTCAAAAATCTCAAGCTCTGGGGCCAGGGAGATGGCTCAGTGGAATAAGTACTTCCCTGGCAAGCTCAAGGGTCTGAGTTCAATCCCTGGTTCTGCCAAAATAATAATAATAATAATAATAATAATAATAATAATAATAATAATAATTCAAAAAATTAAAAAAAAATCTCAAGCTCATTCCAGGTGAGAGCTGTGTAGTTGACAGATTTTGAGATGCATTTCATCCAGGAATAAATGCTGTGACTTGGCAGTAGCTCCCCCCATGAGATCCTGGATGGACCCCATTTCTACTGTGCGAAGACTCTGGGTCCTTTTTCTGCATGTATCGCCCTTGTGTACCCTTCCCCCCATCGTGAGGCCATTGCCAGGGCTGGGGAGATATTGGTATCAAGTCCTTGAGCCTGCCAACCAGTGAACTAAATAAACCTCTTTGCTTAATAAAGTACCCAGCTGTGGGTATTTGGCTGTAGCAATGTAAAATGCACACATCTTTATTTTACAGTCTTAAGTAATGACAAGTTGTGACCCATCTATCATCTTGTTAATAACAAGCATTTTACAGAGGCAAGCATACTGTAAAGAGTTTGGGGGAGGAAATATTTTATGTTTCTGTGATTTTAAATTTAAAAATATAGAAAAGGATGATTGCATGTTTCACTCAGCTATTCCTCCTCTCAAAAGTGATAGTACATGCTGGTTCTCACTTTTTTAGCTATCAATGGATTAATACAAATCTTTTACATTGCAGTTAATTGAGAAATTGAAATTAATGTTGTTGGAAACTCCGTCGTATAATTTGAGTGACAAAAACATAATGCAGTACGAAGGATCAATTTTACAGCTTCAGGAGCTCCTTCATCTTAAGTTTAACATAGCCACGGAAATACTGCTCAGAGTAAGTGGGATATTTTTACGTTCCTTTTGTGAGCACTAAAATGATACAGTATTTATAAAAGAGTAATTGTTATGAAGTCAGCATTGTTATGAAGTCAGCAAAACTACATGTAGTGATGCAGATTTTATAGCTGTTAATATCTTTTTAATCTATCAGTTATTTAATTAGGTTCTGTAAGAAATTTAGAACACTAATTTATGAGGCTAAGTTCCATTTGTCAGAGCAAAAATGGATCGCAGGTAGCCCTGGAGCTGAGGAACAGCTTTGATTTTTGCTAAAATCTGTGAGTCCACAGCATTCTGATCCACCTTGCGCTGCTCTGAAATCTGGTATCTCTCTTTCTTGGTGTCTAAGATCTCGCCCTCCTGGTGTCTGGGCTTCTGCAGCTGCTTCTTCTGGAAGTAAGCATCAGTGAGGTGTTTGGGGATTTTCACTTCGCTGATAATCTATTTTTGTAGAGGTGGCAATGACAGATTTCTGGTGTGTTCTTCATAGAGGAACACGATTAAGGCTAAGAGGCCCCAGTCACAAGAAGCAAGCCACTGGCCAACTGCTTCAGAAAGACCACTCTCTTGCCTCTGTGACGCCCGGTGAGGATGACCAAGATGGTGCCAGGAGTGATGCTAGCTCGAAGTATCCTCACATGCTGACTGAAGGGTTTCTTGCTGTGGCTCAAGAGCTTTCGGGGCACATCTTCACTAGGGTAGTATCTAGGCATTTTTCAAAGCTTAACCACCCAGGTACCTCCATTCTTGTCCCCACCAACAGGTTTTTGTGATCATAGGAAGAACTTTTCTTTCTCTTCTCAACCTGTGATTTAGCAGCTGTGTACTTTCTCTTATACAAAGCCTTTCTGGAATCCATAGCAGATTGGGAGTATCTACCAACTCCTCTAACCAGGACAGGATTTCGGCTGCAGTGGAGCTGCCCCTTCTTGGACTCTTTTGCCTTCACCTTACTCTTTTTACCAGTACCACTGGCAGCAACCTTCTTGGCTTTGGGTTTCTTCTCTTTAGTGTCTGGCTTCTCAGTTTTTTCACCCACCATCTTGTAAGATGGGAAAGAGAACTAAATTTTCCCTAGCTGCTAATATTTATAACTATTATTTTATTAATACATGTTTCACCATGCCTAATGATCCCATTTATCATGAGGAATTTGTACCTGTACATGGTATATCTTAATTCTTTTTTTTGCTCTGAATGCCTTCAGGGCAGGTTTGGTTGGCTTGAGTTGTGGGGATCGAACCACAGCAACTTAAGCCTGACTGCTTTGTTGAAGCAGCCACTTCATTCTTTTTTTCCCATTTTTCTCCCCTCCCTGCAATCCTTTCCCTCCTCATATATAAAAGCCCTTTTTCACTCATTCTCTTCAATTATTTTTTAAAATCCTTTTTCCCTTCCATATATAGTTCTTTATATATTATAGATATTATTCCTCTTCTGAGGCAGCGATGGCAAATCTTTCTAGAGCTTTTAGCAATAACAGCCTGCTGTACCACCCGTACCATAGGCTCACCATCACTGGTCTGAGGAACCACTGGCAAAAAAATTTTCCCATTCTGTATGTTGTCTCTTCACTCTGTTGTTGATTTCTATTGCTGTACAGAAGCTTTTTAATTTGCCGTGATTCCAGTTTTTGATTCTTATATAATGTTTCCTGTGCAGTCAGGGCTTTATTCATTAAGTCTTTATACTTTTGTCTTCAAGAGTTTTATCTAGTCTGTCTTCCAGAAGACAGGTTGTTCTAGCATTTAGATCTTTGATAGGTTTCAATTTTAGGTTAGTGCATGATGGGAGATACCGATCTAGGTTCAAGCTTCAGCATGTGCAAAAGCAGTTTTCCCAGCACCATTTATTAAAGAGTTTATCTTGCTTCTAATAAAGGTATTTGGCTACTTTGCCAAAGATGAGGTAGCTCAGTGCACTTGGAGTTGTTTGTGCATTTTCTATAGTATTCCATTGACCCTCATGTCTGCTTTTTGGCTAATAACTTGTTATTTTTATCGCTGTAGCTACTAATAATATAGAAATAAAACATTTTCAATGTAGCTAGTCACTATATATCTTTCAAGGCTTACTAAGTTCACTATGAAAATAACTTCACAAGAACAATATTAGTCACCGCACAAATCAGCCAATAATAAGGTTACAATTTACTGGTGTAGCATTCTATGTTTCTCTAACATTTCATTTGGAGAGGACTTTCATTGAACATGAGATTAAAAGAAAATACTGTAAGTCCATATACTCTCCATCTAGACTTAATCAATTTTAGCTTCACTGAGCTATTATTGATATATTAAAATCAAATTTTAAATGTTTTATTAATTACCTCATATACTTATTTTTCCTTGTACAATTTTGGAAATTGTTATTATATTTTGCTAATGGGGGCCGGGGAGATGGCTCAGTAGAATAAGTGCTTGCCTGGCAATCACAAGCGCATGAGTTCAATCCCCGGTTCTGGAAAAAAAAAATTGCCAATGAATATCTCAACACTAATAAGATCCATGCAGTTATAAATTATTATATCTAAGGAAATTAATATCATAATTCTAATATCTAGTCCATAGCAATCTATCATCATACACTATTTTTCCCTGTTTCATCTCATATTCTTTTGGCCTAGAACACAGTTCTTTGTGTCACCTGAATAGACTGCTTTCTAATTTTGAAAAGTACTACAAAGAAGGTTTCTAAGGCTGGCTGAGTAGCTCAGTGGATTAAAGTGCCTG